TTGAGCCCAGGAGTTAGAGGTTGCTGTGAGCTGTGATGCCACAGCACTCTACCCAGGGGGACAGCTTGAGGCTCTGTTTCAAAAAAAGAATCAGAGGGTATTTTAGGTTTTTGTCACTCTACTCAACTGTGCCACTGTAGCATGAAAGCATCCATAGATAGTTTACAAATGAGTGGCTGTGACCATGTTCTAGTAAAACTTTATTTGCAAAGATAGGAGGTGGGTCAGATGTGGTCTGCAAGAGTAGTTTGCTGGCTTCAAGATGCAGAGCTACATAGATACTCTCTTACAAGAGCATATGCATAGTTGAATGTCAAAACTGTTACTTGGTGATACTTGTTAAAAGGATGGTAAGGCAGGCTCTATTCAGCATGACTGATATGTATGGGAGCACAGAAATGGGATTTTACAGTAGGATAGAGCAATGGGGCTGAACTCCAAACAACTTGGGCAAATGGGAATTTGTAACCAAGGAGCAGGATTGTGGTAATTGAATGGAAAATTTTTGAGAGGAAACATCAGGGGTAAAAAGGACTCTGGGTAAACCTATCTAACATGATTTTTATGGAAGACAGGCCAGGGTGATTAGACATCACGTGGGGGATAGCAGAGGATGAGGAACCTGATCAGATACAGAGGATGATTGGATAGTGAGGGTGGGAGGTTCTTGCTGAACTGAGCAATGGGTTCTTTGCTAAAACTAGATGTTATAGGGATTTGTACAGATGGACCGAGGAGAAGGCTTGAGAGCCTGACTACAGTTTGGCCAAGCAAAGAATCTTTGTCAGTAGTATGTACACATTATTTTACAACTTGCTTTTGTTTACCCAACAAATACATCCTGGAAATTACTTCCTCTTAGTTCCTCCTAAGGACCCCCTCTTTCTGTGGCTGTATAGCATTCTGTTATGTGTATATATCATAGTTTATTCAACTAGTATCCTATACACATTTAAATTGTTACCAGTATTTTGCTAGCACAAATAATGCTGCAATTAATAACCTTGTGCTTATGTTTTTAATGTTTACAACCTATTCTCTTACCATAATGTGAAAATGCAAGTAAATGAAAACCTGCTAAACCAGAGTGTAGTATTTTGCTTTAAAATAACCCTTTTCATTATAAAAGTAATACTCTTATCAAATGTAGAAAAACAATCCTGAAACACATGAAGTTAAAGCTGAAAGTAATGTTCTGCTTCTCCATCCAACCCTAACCTGGATCTGCTTTCCTCCCCAAATTGTAATTGTTAGCAATTTGATCTATATGCTTCAGGCCTTTCTTCCGTTGCAGTTGCTGGTGGTCTTACTTTGTCTTTCCTTACTTAAGATGTAAACTTACAGGGCTTATTTTGTAAAAATTTGATCATGCTACAGATAATGACTTGGGTTTTTTATGTCCATATGGATTGAGTTACCTCATTCTTTGTAGTAATTGATAGTTTGTAATATGGATTTACCATATTTAACCTTTTCTCTGTTGATATTTAGATTGTTTCCAGCTTTTTGGTATTATAGATAACTACAGTTAATAATCTGGAATGTGTCTTTGTATACATGCAAGTATTTCTATAGGATATATTCCAGGAGGTAAATGGTTGAGTAACTTTCATTGATTATTCCTGTGCGTGTGCAGTGACTTCGTTATGCCCTTGCCAACGCTAAGTTGCCAGTGTTTTTAATACTTGCCAAACTAATGGATAAAAAACGAAAGGTAGTTTGTTGTTTTAATTAGTAATTTTCTGTTTACTGGTGAGATTTTTAGTTCAGGTTTGCTGGCCACTAGTTTATTCTGAAATTGCTCACACAAGTCTGTGGGGTTTTGGTTTGGGGGGGGGGGTTGTTTGTTCATTTATAATGGAGCTTTTACTTACAGATACACTGTCTGAACTTTCACGCCCAAACTCGGGGATGAAGTAGATTTGAGTAAATGTCTTGAGGAATCCTTGCTATAGATAATCTCACTACTCTCCACCTAAAATCAAATTGATTTCAGATTAAAAAGTATCCCTCACTTTCCTAACTTGACATCCAGATTCTGGCTGTCTAAAATCAGGAACTCAAAAGAGTGGGATAGAGAGGGGTATTTATATTCTCCTACTAATTTTTGCTATTTAGAATCTTTTTGTTCCTGTGTGTTGTTTATCTTTTGATCTTGTTTAGTTTTACACAGTGAAAATGTGTGCATTTTTACATTGACTGTTGATGTTTTACTTTATATTCTGGGTTTTTACTTTGTCTTTTCCCATCTACAGTTTTTAAAAATACATTTTATTCTAGTATATATGATTATTTTCAGATGTGAAATTTATGTGTAATCAATTTGTCAACACATTTTTTATTTAAAAATGGCTTTAAGTGATACTCCTGCCTTGGCCTCCCAAGGTGCTGAGATTACAGCATAAGTCACTACACTCAGCCAACATGTTTTTAATAATTC